CATGGTGTGTGTAGGTGTTTGCTGTGTGTATGAGGTGTGTGTGTGTCCTCCATGGTGTGTGCAGGTGTTTGCTGTGTGTAGGAGGTGTGTGTGTGTGTCCTCCATGGTGTGTGTAGGTGTTTGCTGTCCGTAGTACTGAACTGGACAGAACACTATTTCTTCATTTGGTTTCTTAGCCTGCCGTCTTTTTGCTTCTTGTGGTCTGTTTTGAGGGCCATCGCTCATGAATATAATTCGTGCTTATATGAGTGCTTAATAAATTAATGCATATGACCCCCCCCCCAGTCAAATGAGAATGTGTTATCAGAATGGAGATGTCGCTCTATAGATACAAATCATTTCTCTTTAATAATAAAACAAGATATAATTTAGCAGTAAAAGATGAAATAACGTAACCCAGCTGTGTCACGGTGTGGACACTGTTTGTTCAAAGAAACGCATGCATTTGGTGCTTTGATGAACTGTCCTCCAGAGAGCAACACATGGAGAGGTGAGTTTGTGTCAGTGTTGGCCCGACACACTGACCTGGTCTCCCTGGTGGGCCACAACAGAACCGGCTTTGACTTGTCGAAGATTCACCCTCCCCTCCAGCAGACTGGGGTTCTGATGAGATCACAGTACATATTAAAAACACGGGGACATTTAAGCTTTAACTGCCTCAACAAAAATGGATTCATGATTACAAAACCGATGCCAGATCACCTAAACAAACAATTAGCAGCAGTATAATATTTCACAATTTAAAAGTATTCCACCGTTGCTGTTCAATTCTTCCATACGTAAAACAAGATTTGGGATTAAATATGTGAAACAGGTAAATAAAGTTTGTACTCTACCTGCATTTGGATGACCTGCAACAGATCCTTTTTGGCAGCTTGGAAAATGGCGTTCACTTTATTATGCTGCACGTTTCCTCCTCCAGCATCACTGTAGTGGTAAACAGCAGATGGAGCGGGCTGCATGGTCACAGTCTTCTTCAGGATAGACTGAGGAGACAGAGAAGTGTCCTTAAGAAAAACACAGAAGCACAAACTAGATGCTCATTCTAAGTAACAACACCCGGCCTTTACCCGTGCAGTGTACTAAAGGGATCCGTTGTTTCTACTGTGTAACATCGTAGTGCACAGCTTCAATAAATACTTGTGTTTTTAGGCTACATCAAAATGGCTTTTTAATTTGCTCCATCATATCAATATACATGAATACAACAAACACCTGCCAGTTCTGATCCTTACACCGACTAAATCAATAGCAGGACAACAGAGAGATGCTTTATCCTGAACTATACAACTGAACTGACTTCATTAGATGCAGTTTGTAACTAACAAACACGGCTGATGCTCGGCTCCTCTCACAGTCTTCTGGAGGAAGCTACAAAGACAACAACATAAAGACACTCAGAGACGTGCAGCTCTGGAGCGGAGCGGAGTCAGTACATCCGCTAACGTGTCTGTCGGGATGGGGACAGTCATGAAAATGACTGATGTTGTGCTCACAGCTGTGGATTTCCAGCCTGTTACTGCACTCTCAAACTCTTTCCCTTCTGTTATTTGCTCCACAACATTGTTGACTTGCATTACACTAATCTCGGAGCAAACTGAAGACCGGTCACTACAGACTAGTCTCAATGATATCTGTGTAACTGGCTCCAAACGTTCAAAACCTGGAGGAAGTTCAAGAAAGAGCATCCTTATCCAGAGACCTTCACAGCGGGAGGCAGAGCGTCTTCTTTGGAAACTTGAGCCCGTTGATATACTCTCTTGAGGTCGGCTGACATTTCACCTGCATAACACAAGAACATGCAGTCATGGTATTGCTCATCATGGTTTAGTGTCGGCGATAAAAAGCATCTCCTGATTGCGCCGATGTGTCTTAGAGGCTGCTGGGTAGAAACCTGCTGTTGCTGCTAGTTTTTACAGGAGCAGCATCCAAAATCTGATTATTCATGTTTCTTTACAGTTCAGATATCTTGTGAAAGCCTTTCTCATCTAGGAGGGGGCTCCCCGACTGTAACAAGAACAAAATGATAGTCTCATGTACCTCAGCCTATCGCTTAGCTGTTGTTTCAGAATGATAGGACAGGGCTGTTAGCTGTGAGTGTGTGTGTGTGTGTGTGTGTGTGTGTGTGTGTGTGGTGCTGTCCAAAGTACTGAAACAGTAAGGCAGACACAGTTTCTAAGCCTGCTTGCAAACCGAGGAATTACAACTTCCAGGTACATCACGGGATGCTATGGGCCCCAACAAGACTTTTTAAACACTGATTAACATTTCAACTTCCTGGTACGAACGCTTGAATTGCAGTTATTTAAATCATTAGGTCAAAAAAGTTATAAAATGCCCTCATAGCAAAATCCAGACTTATTTTCCGTCAGCCGTTCAAGTGAATGGGGCCTCTCCTCTAACTCTTTATCCAGTTCTCTTCGGACATTCTCTAATTCTATTTCCCCATTGTAGCAATGCCCAGGCAGGGAGACGCCGGTACCCAACCCTTCTGTTGTTGTTATTCAGGTGCTGCTCCGATGGTCCTGCAAAGTCTACATGGTGATTTATTCACGCACACCAAGTACATTTAAGTATTACTAATATGCTGATATTTAGTTATTATTGGTGACCTGCAAAAACAATCAGAATTTGATTTTGCTTTTTTGACATGAGCAAATAAGAAGGAAAACATCCTGTAGACATTCTACATGTTTGTCTTTATGTTCCAGGGCTTTCAATTAAGAACATTACACGTAGCTTTAATCTATTTACATGATCCGGTAGCATGCAGATTAGTCCCATCGATACAAGAAAATCTAAAATCTAAAATAAGTATGTGCTGTATGTGTATAAAATGTATACTGTGTGTGTGCGCGTGTGTGTGTGCGCGTGTGTGTGCGCGTGTGTGTACCTGTAACAGCCAGCGGGGTGGAGGCAGAGCGAGATTTCTTGTATTTAGACGTGGACGTGTCGGATAAGCTGGACTTTTCTGCTGTAATGTGTAACAAGAAAACATCACTACACACACAGCACTGCTGCCAAACGGTGACATGTTGAGGGAATGTCGTTGTTTCTGACCTGCGTCACCTTTTTCAGAGCCAAGGTCATCAGAATGGGAAGGCTGCCTGCGGAGGCCTCTGTGTGGATGACCGTCACCCAGAACATGGGCCACCGACACCAAGGAGATGGCTTGGCTCTCCTGTAACACACATACATCAATATTTCATTTGTAAACCCTCTCTAATTAGATATGTGCTACGGTTAAATGTATATAGTGGAATTCTGATTTCTGCTATTAATTCTCCATCCGTGACATGACGGATATGAAGTTTGAACTTTATTTGTTGTCAAATCAAGTCTCTCTCTACGTCTGTGGAGAGGGACGGAGAAGATATTGACTCTTGGCATCAAACACTAGCTTGATTGGCTCAATCTATGCGTTATGTAAAGCTGACATATGGAAAATGTAAAAGGTTTGTATGAAGATAACCCCATCCCTCTTCCCCTTTGATAAATGACATTACTGTTGTATTCTCTCTCCAGTTATTATGCCTTGGTCTGCTACAGATGGAAGTTGTCTTTATGTTAGCTGCACATCCACTGGGTGTGGTTTGTTTTACAGCTGTGCAGAATGAGGTTACAGTCTTGATGTCTAGTGTCGGTATCTTCTTGTGCGTAAGCTGCTGTTAAACATCACTCATGCTCTTAAGAAGACTCTGCTTTAAGACAGTGTTGCATATCAGAGAGCAGGACAAAGTGTGAGGTTTAAAGAGTCCCGATCAGTCAAAACCGTGAAACAGTACCGGGTTGAAGAGCTCAGTGGTCAAGCCAAGGTAGTTGTGTAAGGCAAGGAAGGTCACTCTCTGGAGACGCACCATGATGATCTACAGAGGGCAGAGCATACAGACAGCACTGTTTATGGATCCACATCCTTCACTCAGGACCAGTACCACAGGGGGACCTCGAGTCATTTGTAATTCAGTGAATGCGGAGGAGGTCATCTGTCATCTTGATCCTGAGCTAATCTGCCATGTCTGGAATTTGTCAAGAGACAATTCCACTGCAAATTACCGACCACATTTCTCCAAACACAGAGGTCATGTGATGATATCAGTCCCGTGTCAAACTGCCTTTCAGTGATTTGGGGCTGGATTTGGTTTTCTTTGACAAGGTTTTTGGGTTCTTTCGCTCATTTCTGGTTGATAATGACAGTAAAATACAGACTTAACTAATCCTGTGTTGATGCTCTGCAGGAAACGCCGACGTGTGGGGTGATTTCTAAATCACACCAGGTCCCCTGGTAGTACTCGTCCCATGCCGATAGGGCTTAAGAAGGTAGCTCACTTAAAGAATCAAAAGCCCTCTTCGCACGGGACCAGTATTACCAGGGGACCAGTATTACCAGGGGACCTCGTGTGAACTAGAAACGATCCCTCGCAGCTGTGTTTTGTGTTTTGCATTAGCACAGGATATGTGAATTCTGTATTTTACTTGAATTTACTAACATGATCCCCTGGCTTAGTGTCCAAGCTCTGCGAAACATCCACTTTTATCAAAAATATTACACTATATGATATTTAGATGTAATGTCATAAATATTGTTTATTATGTATTTATGTTTATAGAATACTCAAAAAGATGTTTTGCTCTGGTGTGAATGGGTCTCCATGCTGTGTATGAGCCTCCTGAATTTGCACTCAGAATGCTGTGAACGCAGCCTCCAAACTTCCCGACCAGGGAAGAGCCAGAAAAAAGGCACCAAAACAAAAAACTTGCAAAAAATACCACAAACGACCCCAAATCACGATACCAATTCACACAGGACTAATATTATCACCCGTTCTTTGCAAAATATAGTGGGTCATTTGTGGTGGAATTTTACTCGACAAATTCCAGACATGGCAGATTCGCACCGGATTAAGATCACAGACCTCCTCAACTATTACGAATGACTAAAGACACCCAGGTATGACTAATATGTGAAGGGGCTATATGTCTGTCATTGTCAGTGAACACTTTACCTGGATGACACGGACCAGAGTTTCAGGATATTTCTCAAAGACCGACTGAAAGGCTGCAGCTGGAAGACGCAGGATAGTGGAGGGAACTGCAGCTCGTGCAGACACTGTTTTGTAAGGTGCAGGATAGCCCTGAGTACAGATAGTACAGTGTGTGAAGATGTGAAGGATGCTGTGAGTCATACACAAAACAGAATTAAATCGAACAACGAAAATGCAAACATGAATAAAAATCGTGAATAAAAAGGGCAGTACTGAATGATTGAAACACAATATGATAAGATAGAGAATTTGTCCTAAATTAAAGTCACCGTTAAACTCAGTCTAACTAGAATTACAGCCTCTCAGTTGTGTTCCTCCACCAACCAGTGAGGCTGCAATTTACATCCACGTCAGTTCAAAATGTTATCACTTTATCATTTTATCCTATTAGACATTTGTATGAATTTGTCACAATTAGCATATGAATTTTGAGTTACGGCCAAAAACTGAACTAGTACCATGAACTAGACATCTCCATCAGGGAAAGCACTCAGCTCGCTCTACGTACTGACCCAACTAGAGTTGATCTAATCGTACGTTATATCTGTTGATGATCTGTTCTAAAATAGAGACCTATTACATATGAGGATGAAGACGTACGGTGATGATGTCCAGGATACTGAGCAGACTATGAACACTGTCTCCTGGTAGAACTTCCTTCACCACAGCGTCTGTACCGTCCTGCAGGAAGAAAACACAGTTGCATCTCAACATGAGAGAGTAGTCACAGCAACACGGTGGACTAATCAACACAAAACAGCAAAGAACACAAGTTCTAATCGATCGCTGAGTGTGAAACATTCTGTGAAGCAGTAGGTGTTGTGGTCCACCCTCTGATCTTACACTCTCATGGATGCACAGCTCCAGGCGGCCATCTTGAACCACGTAAATACTGTCGTCGGTGTCACCCGGTCGGAAGAGCGGCTCTCCCTGATGCAGCGGGATCAGCACCATGTGACGACACAGCTCCAGGAAAAGAGGCTTCTCGAAGTGTCCGAGCACCCTGGTTACACATGCACATGCAAAGTAGTTCTGTTACCTCTAATGATAACAACCACATTGAGACAATAGTCACAATACGTCACATTATGGAAATTCTAGTTTAACGGCATCATATCTAAGATAAAACAAATCAAATTTTGATTCCGACAGCATAGATGTGCTACATATGCACCCATTCAATTTCAAATCTAGACACGATGGTGTGTGGAGAAAGATGGGTGCTATGAATCCGAAAGAAACGGACTTTAAGCAGTTTAAGTCATTTTTCAAACAAAAATACTAAACGATTAATCGATTTTCAGGACTGATCTTTTCAGTACACTGGCTATTCCTTACATCTACGTATATGTCACAATGGGACTGCATAGAAACTGTGCTCCTGTTCATGTGGAAGATGGAAATGAAGCATCACACATTTTACTTACCTGACATTTTTCAGCATGTACAGCACCTCAGAGGGCAGATGGGAGTTCTTCACATCAAACTCAGTCAGGTCAGCCTCCAGCAGGCAGGGAGGAGGCTCTTTGGGCTGCAGGGTGGGGGGCTCCCTCCGGATGCGCAGGATCCTTAAACAAACAAACACACACACACACACACACACACACACACACACACACACACACACACACACACACACACACGTGAAAAAGTTATTCTTCATACTGTAAAAAATGTATTACTTTGAGTTGCAGCTCTAAACCAAGTTTCTATCATTTAAACTGAATCTTACCTCTTTCCTAAAACACAACACCTCTGTGCATTTATATTACAAATCTTTCTCATCAATATATTTATGCTGGTTTATTTCTGCTTTTAAAGGACATTCTGAATGACTTCTCTGGTTAATTAACAAGGGTTTAAATATGGTATATTATTGAAAAAGTATCCAATATTTAGTGGAGACTGGCTCTGATTATGTATTTGTCCCTGTTCTTCTTTGACAAAATAATATAATAATAATATTTTATCAAACAACTGTTCCTAAGTTGAAGAATGAACTATCTGTCTTCACCAGATGCTGAAAAAGAGACTCACTTGCGAGCTATCGACAGGACTTTGGTCCTCTTCCTCACTCTCTGACGGGAAGCTGAGTTTGAAGCAGAGGCGGGGGCTGAGGACAACGTCTGGACCTGCAACAGGAAAGGTTTGGGGATTTGTCATGCTTGTAGTAAATTGCCTCTTTCTGTCCGTCTGTCTACGTCCAACGGAGAAAGATACCAACAACGTATCAGTTAAGATGTAATGAAAACATCATCAGCAGAGAGGGATGTCTACAGTCTATTGAACTGGCAGAGAAAAGAACACGAATCACCTCAGAGTAGTGGACTAAAGTCACACTTCCAAAATGTGTTGTTGGGCGCCAGAATCAATATTGCATAGATATGAGATGATAAACTGTGATTATGAGCTCTAGAAAACAGAGGACAGAACTTTTGTTTTTCATTCAGATAAATCTGCATCTTTAATAAAAAGGTTTTTTTGTCACATTTGCTGAAGCTGTTTTTATATCCTGACAGTAGTACGTGAGACGGCTCATTCATGAAAAGATCCGGTCCTCAGTGGAATCCTGCAGACTCCATTAGGAACACTAAGAGGAGGCAGAGGAACCCGATTGCTTTTATAGATGATCTATCTCATGTACTGCAGTGACAATAGTTATCTTGGCTTTACATCTGTAGCTTTAAACAACCTTATGGGTTTTCAATGGGTTGCCAGGTATTAATCTTTGATTAAAGTCTTTGTGACTGAAAAGTGAATGATGTACACTCTGCACAGTGTGTCAAATGTCTGCAAGTAGCATGCTGAAGAAGGCACCGACCTTTCTCATGATCTTCCGGCCGTAGAACATCACCTTGTCTCTCTTCCTAAAGCGATAGTGTGGAGCGCCGGCCTCCTCTGAAACACACCATAGATCTTCTGTTAAACCATTTGCCCCCTCCTGTATGAATGAGTCCTCCTGTATGAATGAGTCCTCCTGTATGAATGAGTCCTCCTGTACATTGAACTGATGCCGTACATCTGTCTGGTTAGATCACTCTGCTTCTAATCCCTCAGAATAACTAATTCACTGACAACTTGGTTTCTTTTATGAATAGGACATACAGTATCAACAAACCTTTACCAACAACATTATTAATACAGTGAATTAATAAATAAATAAAAAACATAACCCTGAAAATACATGATTGTATGAACTGTGAACAACGTTTATATTGTCTCTGATATATGATAAAAACATCATTGTGACAGTCACTCTGACACAACCCATATTAATATGTTAACTGAGTATTTGGGTGTATTTTGCACATCTTTACATCCTGCATCATTCAGACACTAATGTGCTCTGAAACAGAACAGATTGCACAGAGAGCAAGGCACTGACTTGACAGTTTGTATCTTCTGTAAAGAAGGAACACAACAACTCCAACGACAGAAACAACTGTCGCAGCTCCGATCAGCACCGCCGTCCACTGGAAGAGAAACACACAACACATTCAGATGAGCTCTACTCAAAAACTCTAAATGATCAATCCACATGTTATGACAGGGTGACAAGAACAGGAACGCCAGAGTCATCCATGTGTTACCAGTTCATCCTTTTCTCCAGTGCACTTCAACACGCATTTAATTACATTCATGCAAAAAAGCCATTTACAAACAACGGGCCTCATTCACCGATATCCTCCTAAGTTTGTTCTTCAATTTGTTGGCGTGGAGGTTCCGTCACACCAAGAGCCATCCCAACCAACCAGCGAGGAGCGGAAGTGGGTTATAAAACATAACCAGCTGCCCGCACTGCCCACTTGGCTTCTTTTTTGGAAAATTGTCAATAAGGACCAAAATAAATGATTAGTACTAATACCATGTAAAAAACACAAAACTTAAATACTTTAGAAGTGGAGGTACTTCTGCAAGAGGTGAACACCAAATGAGCCGTCATATTTAAAAGAATCAGTAGTGAATATATATAAATAATATAAAATATAAATAATTTCACTGAATTGTCCTGCAGCTTAAATGTTGTATTTATTGGTTTATTTGATAAGGGACAGTGCACATTAATAACAACATTGCTGTGAATGCGCCAGAGTTATTAAGTATGGAGCCAAATCCAGGTCAATAGTTTTGTTTATTTGAGAAGAAAAGTGAACCTGAAAGTTCAAGTTGTGGTCTTGAACATTGAAAAATACAGCAATGAATTCAAAATATAAATAAGTGAATGAAAAGGTTTTTTGGGTTGAATATAATTTAGATTCAGTTCTGGAATTTTTTTGAATACATTTTACACTTTCATATATATTTTGATATTTGAGGTTTTATATATGGACAACAGAATATGACTTAAGTATAAATAAATGCATTAATACATGTATAAATAAATACAGGAATAAATAAATAAATGCTTAAATAAATGTTTGAATACAGAAATAAATGAATAAAATAATAATTAAAAGCTGAAATAAATACTGAAATAAATAAATAAATAAAAGCATAAATAAATAAATGCTGAAATAAATATGGAAATAAATGAATTAATGTAAAGATAAATAAATAAAAGTTGATAATCAAACAGGACATAAATAAATACATATATCATATATTTATTTCTACATTTCTATTCACCTACATTTATTCATTGATGTGTCTGTATGCTAATGAGGTGGGAGGTCCTAACCTCTGTCTAAAGCAGGATTGGTCACAGGAGTGTGATGGCTTCTGGTCTACTACTGCTGCCTTGCACAGAAACGTTGAAGTTGGCCAGCCCAGTGTTGCCAAATTGACGACTTTCCAAACCCTCTTGGCGACTTGTCAAAAGCGACGAGCGACAAATCTAGCAACTTTTTCTGGTGTTATTGGAGACTTTTCTGGTGTTTTGGAGACTCTGACATGAAAGCACGTATGGTTCTGCAGTTACTGTCCTCAACGAGCAGCGGGTGCTGCCGTGAGCCCCTCGGCCGTCCCAAAGCACTCACAGGCAGCAGCCTCGCGCAGCAGTCCCAGCTGCAGACTGTGGACGCCGTTAGTGCTGCTAGATAGTTTGTTGACGTCGTCTACAGAGATGATTGGCTAGGAATCGGTTGCTTCTGTCTTGCTCCCCTACTTGACCAATCCTGCTTAAGAATGAGGTTCGGACCGCCTACCTCATTAACATACGGACACAGAAATACAGAAACAAATAAATGAAGGAATACAGAAATGTAGAAATAGATTTATGTCCTGTTTAGCTATCAACTTTTATTTATTCATTTCAGTATTTATTTATTTCAGCATATATTAATTCTTTTATTTATTAATTTCTGTATTTATACATTTATTTATGCATTTATCTATTTATTCCAGTCTTTATTTATACATTTATTAAAGCCTTTATTTATTTATACATAAGACATTTTTCGTCCTCCATACTTATATTTTTCAGTTTCAGATTTTTTTTTTCCGGTTTCAAATCTTTTTTTCACTTTCAGGTCGGTTTTTTTGTCCCTGCTCCAACGTGGGGGGCGTGGCATCAACTGAGAGGGGCGTGTCATCATGAGTGAAAGCATAACAAAGAAGGCTGAGGACTGTCCTCAAATGATTCCAAATGATCAATATTGACCTGGATTTGGCTCCATACTTGCCTAACTCTGGCGCATTCACAGCAATGTTTGTATTAATGTGCACTGTCCCTTATCAAATAAACCAATAAATACATAATTTTTTCTAAAATGAAGTACTATATTTAAGAGTCACATTATTCAGAAGCTTTCTTTTATCTATTTTATTTTTTCCAGCCCTTATTTAACAAGAGAAGAACATTTCTTTATTCTTAGAGTATTTATTATTTATAATTCATCGATTGAAATCGGACAATAAATATTGTTGAGATATTATTCAATTGAACTTTTTATATTTGAAATGACAGTCAGTTGTTGATTACATACAGACGTCAATACAACTGTTAGGGTACTTTAATATATAAAGGACTAAATCATCACGCAAGTTACACATTACTGTGATGTTCCAGACCTTTGAGGAGGAAATTCTCTCTGACTGGACCTCGTTGAACTTTAGTTGAACACCTGGTTTAGGGTATATCTCCCAGATGCTTCTCTGTGACTCTGCTCCCAAATGTACATGAAATGTATGGGGTGGGTACAGAAACTTTAAAAATGTGGGGGGACACTATTGAACCATTTTGGCACACCCATGCATGAGACCCATAAAACATACACATTTCCACCACTCCAGACCGGTTCTGAAGCAGGTACAGGTGTGGCCAGAGGGGGCCTCCTCCGCTCTCCAAGACTGCTTTGACACAACAGACTGGGGAATGTTTAAGCAGGCAGCCACATACAACAATCACACAGACATTGAGGAGTACACAGACACTGTTACTTCTTACATTAGTAAGTGCATTGATGATGTGACTCATATAAAAACCATCATCACTCGGGCTAACCAGAAGCCATGGCTGACAGGGGAAGTGCATCGGCTGCTGAGGGCCAGAAACAACGCCTTCAGAGCCGGGGATGAAACTGGCCTGAGAAGAGCGAGAGCCGACCTGTCTCACGGCATCAGGGAAGCAAAACAGGAATACACGAATAAGATAACCAGTCACTTTAAATTCAGCAGAGATACACGGAGCCTGTGGCAGGGCATATAGACCCTTACGGACTACAAACCCGTGCCACAGATCTGCGACAGCAACATCTCTCTGCTAAACAACCTCAACAGCTTCTTTGCACGGTTTGAAATGCAAAACAGCACACGTCCACACAAGACTCCGCCCCCTCCCCACGATCAGGCTCTGTGCCTGTCTGCTGCCAGCGTGAAGAGGACACTCTCCACTATCAACACCCGCAAGGCAACAGGTCCAGACAACATCCCTGGTCGTGTGTTGAAGGACTGTGCAGAGGAGCTTAAGGATGTCTTCACAGATGTCTTTAATACTTCTCTGAGACAAGCTGTTGTTCCATCATGCTTCAAGGCCACCATCATCATACCTGTGCCAAAGAAATCCACTCTGTCCTGCTTTAATGACTACCGTCCGGTGGCACTGACCCCCATAATCATGAAGTGCTTTGAACGGCTAGTCATGTCACATATCAAATCCATTCTTCCCCCCACCCTGGACCCTTTCCAGTTTGCATACCGTGCCAAGCGGTCCACGGAGGATGCAATCTGCTCTGCTCTCCACCCAGCCCTCACCCATCTGGACACAAAGGACTCATATGTGAGAATGCTGTTCATAGACTTTAGTTCAGCATTCAACACCATAATCCCACAAAAACTCATCTTCAAACTTGACCAGCTGGGGCTCAAGACCTCGCTGTGTAACTGGCTGTTGGACTTCCTCAGTGAGAGGCCACAAGCAGTACGTGTCGGCAACAACACCTCGAGCAGCATCACACTGAGCACAGGGGCCCCTCAAGGCTGTGTTCTCAGTCCACTGCTCTTCACCTTGCTGACACACGACTGCACCACAACCTACAGCACCAATCACATGGTCAAGTTTGCAGACGACACAACTCTGGTAGGTCTCATCACCAACGACGATGAGACCCACTATAGGAAGGAGGTCAGCCTTCTGACCACGTGGTGCAGAGACAACAACCTCCTTCTGAATAACAGCAAGACCAAGGAGATTATTGTTGACTTCCGGAGAGGCCACACTCGACACCCACCACTGACCATCAATGGTGCTGATATAGAGAGAGTGAGCAGCACCAACTTCCTGGGGGTGGACATCAGTGAAGACCTCTCGTGGACAGCCAACACAACATCACTGGCAAAGAAAGCTCAGAGCCGCCTCTACTTTCTCCGCAAACTGAAGAAGGCAGGAACACCACCACCCATCATGTGCACCTTTTACCGAGGCACCATTGAGAGCATCCTGACAAACTGTATCACTGTGTGGGGCGGAAGCTGCACTGACCACAACAGGAAAGCCCTGCAGCGCACAGCAAACACAGCTGGAAGGATCATTGGTGCCTCACTCCCCTCCCTGCAGGACATATACGACACTCGCCTCACCCGCAAAGTGACCATGATTGTGCGCGACTCCAGCCACCCCTCACACAGTCTCTTCAGCCTCCTGCCCTCTGGGAGAAGATACCGGAGCCTCCACGCTCGCACCACCAGACTCTCAAACAGCTTCGTCCACCAGGCTGTTAGGAAGCTGAACTCTCTGAACTCTCTCCCTCCTCTCTTTTAAGACTCCCCATGTCCAACTGCTGCTAAATACAGATTGATAGTTTTTTTCTCTTATTATATATATATTGTCTAAATGTTTTTTTAATCTATTGCACTGTATTCACTTTATATGTTTATATGTTTGACTAGAGAGAAACGTCTTTTCAACTCCCCTGTATGTCCAGTACATTGTGGAATTGACAATAAAGCGAACTTTGAACTTCTGATGCATTGTGTCATTATTTTTTGAGCAAATTTAACACATTTTGTCTTAATGTCAGTGATTTCATGGTGATGTCTATTAGTTACATTGTTTTACCTGATTCACCTGCAGTGTCTTCAGTATGTAGGACATTTTAAAATGTATATCGCTAAAAGCCGTTTTCTCAAAATGTTTTTTTTCTCCGCTGTAGCTCTTACATACACCAAAGTGGCTCATTGCTAATATTCTGAAGGGGTTTGTACACATATCATTCACAGCCTGTTTTATACAATATTTTATTACTAAAAACATGGAGAAAATGGATTTCATGAGTGTTGACAGTATTTCCTGATTCATGCGGTGATGAGGAGAGATATCCAAACAAAACATTTGAGTCTACTTTGTCAACAAAATGAAAGAAGACGTTTGAAGCCGGCTTTATCCAATGCTCAGAATTCTGTTCAGGATATGTATGCAAATGAAAACATATGTGATAAGACAATGCATCATTTGCACATTTTCAGAAAACGTATAAACAATAAATAATTGTCTTAATGTAAGTAATCAACTGGAGGCGTTTCATGGTGATATCTATTAGTTCACGTTGTTTTACCCAGTGTGTCTCCCTAATGGTTGGTGAATGAGGCCCAAAGTCGCAGTCAAACCTCTGGAGTCAGAAATCGACTGTCGGTGGTTACCATGTTGGCCTCGGTCCTCTCCTCCACAAGCTGCGTCATCTTGGCCCCGATCTCAGTACCGAGTGGAACCAAGCTCTGAAACATCAAGAACAGGAACAACACTGAGAAATCAACTGGACATCAGAGCAGTTGTAAAAACGGTTAAATTGTGAAAATCGTTTTCCTAAATGGACAAAGACATGCATGGATGGAATATTGGGTCTATCAGGCACAGACCAAGGGGTCCAAAGTGTCAGGGGCCCCCCTCTGGCCTTCACCTACACGATGTCACTCAGAAAGACTCAAGATATATAAGAAATATAAAAGTTATAAAGAGACTCAAAACGACTAAGAAAAGAGGAAAAACAACCACAGAGACACAGAAATGACTATAAAGATACACAAAACAACTACTAAGAGATGCAAAATTTAAAAAAGGGTCAAAACAATCAGACAAAAAAATAACCACAAAAAGACCAAAATGACTACAAAGAGATATAAAACAACAAACAAACAAAGGCTAAACAACTATAGAGTATCTGTGCCTGGCCTTTTGTTTTCATGGGACATTGATCTCAACATCAGGCCAAAGAAGTGCAATGAATAGGAACAACATACCGGTATACTGCAGCTCTTCTCTTCACCATCGTCTTCCATTTCTGTTCAAAGAAGATAATGCAGTAAAACAACACAATCTAGAATAGTGAAATGAAAGAATTTAAACTACAGACATTCATTCATTCCACACGGGAAATTAATGTGCATTTAACTTAAGAAGATGATTTGTTGCTATTATGGAATTATATTCTGATGAAGCTTTGAGATCAAAATAGCCCGGGACTCGAACCCTGCACCCTAGTGCATTGCTGCACCCATCTGACCGCCACAGAGAATCTGGGGTAAAGATCAGCTGCTCCGCTAGAGGTCACAAGCTCAATGCTGGTAACCAGACACTGGCTCCACTCACCCACTGCTGAACTCTACCGACAGGCAGCCACACAAGCCTGCAAAACGGTGCACGGATGGTTCAGGGGACCAGAGGAAAGATGTCGGCTGTCATGTTTAGTTTGTTTACAGACACTTGTTGACTTCGCGCGTGTCCTGGTTGTGTCTTCTAGAGCCACACTCCATCAAATATGGAAGATGTTTTTGCTAGTGCTTTGTGGATTATATATGCCGAATTGAAAAGTGTGTTTTACTAATAGTCTTATCCTATTTTGGTCGACGTGAGTGCGTTTGCAGGAGAGCACCAGAGCCACGTACATATTTAAAGAGTTTGGCGACAACACGGAGCATCATATTCCTGCTTGACGTAGTGATAAAGCAAAATAACTCACACTTCTATAGTTTGATATTTACTGATAGCTAACACGTTAACAGTACGAAGAGAGCCAACATGCAATTCCACAATTAGTTAACGTAAATGTAACTTTGTTATAGCTAACGTTAACGTAACGTTACCGTTCATTCTCACACACATGTCCGCGGGCGCAGCTACTGTGGCTGCGGTCCGCAACAATGCGATTGAAAAACTGAACAAATAAACAAGTCTGCATTGACAACAAATACAGATAAAAGCTTCAGCAATATAACTGACGTTTACCCCTTTCGACTGAACCGACCAAACTATTCCCCCACGTACCTTTCTTGTATCAAAGTTTGTGTCTAATGCTACATGCCTGAGAACAGTGTCACGCCTGTGCGGTAAAACAGTCTCAATATCCGGTGATGGCTTTCAAAATAAAATACGTATTGACGAACATCTAGATGACCCAGACGTGATGGAGGCATCTGGACTGTGTTTAGAGGATGTAAGGTGCAATTCAATAGCTAGATGTTACTCTTCAGTGGTACATAGTATAGCTCTAGTTCCGCTCAACATTAACACAGAACTAGATAGATACATGCTTTGCGCATACTAATTGTGCCTTTTGAGCATTTATCTTGAAGGGGAATTCAATTGTGTACTACGTAGCTCTGGCTAACTTGACGCACGTCCATTAGTAACAGTTTAGTACTAGTGTCTCAGATTGTGGTTGGTGGTTGGTTTTGCCTTTCGGCCAATCACTGAGCACTTCCTTGGACAGCTCGGCACATTGCTCTCATCGGACCAACAGCGGACTCAAGGTGAGAGGAGTTACATTTTGTAACAATGAATGAACTTATGGGCCATTTTTAACTATAACGACTATTTTATTAACGTCAAATGTTAGTTAGCTAGCATGCAGGCGATATAACAGCGTTAGCAGGCTCGTAGGTTATCGTTCGCTAGCTAACGTTAGCTAGCGAACGTAATGAGCTAACTGTTAAAACAAAGCTTTCAGTTGTCTTCTTACCTAGCTAAATCAGAAATGTTACGCAGGTTTTCATCACCTGAACCCATTTTACTACATGACGAACAATGCGTTAATACCAGGTAACGTTAAAGCTAACAGTCTTAGTCGTTTCAGTAATGGTGTTATCAAACAAACGGAGAAGATGTACGCGTATCAGAAGATGATTGACCCCCTGGCTGCCATACGTTATTCCCACGTTCATACGAGGATATAACGCGACATCATTCGTCAGTTCTGAAAACCGTGTTGGTGGCAGAATCTGTGTATTCTTTGGGGTTGTACCTATGCCGTCTTCACTTGAATACACGTGTAAAGCATCATTTATTCTCCACAGGGTTTCTCTGAACGCTGTGGCACGATGGGTGTGTTATCCACGTTGATGAGGGGTCTGGTCAGAGGAGCAGACAGGATGGCTGAGTTCACCAGCAAGCGGGGATCAAGGACTCATAATAAAGGCAGAGGCGCCAGGCCCACTGGACTGAGGCTCTCCAGCAGGAAGTTTCTGTCCATACGGACCATGATTCCAGAGTTTGTGGTGCCTAACTTGGAGGCCTTTAAACTGAAACCCTACGTGTCGTATCGTGCTCCTCGAGGAACGGAGCCTCCACTCACAGCACAAAGTGTGTTTGCTGACGTTGTGGCCCCTCAGATCAAGAAAGACTTTGAAGAGGGCACTTTCAGCAAAGGACAGCTGGAGAAATATGGTTTTGAGCCCAAACAGGAGGGGAAGCTCTTCAAGCTTTATCCCAAGAACTATGTGCGCTGAAGATGGACTCAGTGTTATGTATTTGCAAAGACTGCTGGGTAGACTGAAAGCTGCAGACTAACAGGGATGATGCCTTCACAAATGGGACTGTTATATTTAGAAAGATATTTGTTCCTACAAGTGATTGACTTTTCTGTTACTTCATCTGGCAAAATAAATGATCAATGCTGTAGAGTTGTGCATTAGTCAAAGTATAGGTAGCGAACATAACTGTGCTGAGGCTAATCATAGTTATTCTTCACAGTCTCTTATACTGAGACGATATACTACAATATAGTAGTTCATTTTTCTCAAAGCCCCTTGATTTTAAAGACATGACTCCAAGTTAAGACACAGTGAACCTAGAACATGATAATGTAGCTTTATTGGTCAGGAAGTGTAATAAATGTAACTAGCAATTCAAGTGGCTATTTCAAATGTAGTTCTACTACTGTGATAACGCTTACAAAATCATAATGAGTTGAAGATCACCACATAGGCTGGCAGAACACTTTACAATTGCAAAAAGGGGGTGTGTTATTAAAGAGGAGGTTCATTACTCGGGAGCCTTTAACCTGCTAATCTGGGCTACATCACGCATCAACCCATCCAAAATGTCATTAATGCTGAACTGAACCCAGGAGTCCTTATAAGGTAGAAGGGTGCAAATGAATAGAATTTCCTTTTGAGGACCAATTCACACACATTGCATGGAGTCAAGAAAGTTGTTTTTGAGAACAATTTATCTTAACACTGCTATAATGAAGAACAGGTTTGTGGGTAAATGTTGGTGTTGATCTTTCTGCTACAGGGCAAACTGAAGATTGTAAGCAATTTGTTTAAATACAAGCTTATAAAAATCAAGTGTCAATTCAAAAATATAAGGTTTTCCTAATTGCATATTCTGTGATAAGTCTGGGGACTATTTGTTGGCTATACATTCTGCAGAACTTGGTATATTTCTATCGTGCCAGTGCAGCCAGTGCTCCAGCCTGGTCAGCATGGCTCTGATTCCAGTTGAGCCTGATCTGGAGTCCAGTCCCAGCGCCACACATGCAGCATATGGTCATAGAATGAGCAGCTTGCCAGCACATAGGACAGTGAATGGGCATCCTCATCGGGAATCAGGGCAGGGCCTGCAGTAGGGGTGAAAGGGGGTGCTGCAATGCCCTCTGGGATGTATCGTCCTGCATCATCCTCCAGGGAAGTGTCAAAGCTGGCGGTGGGAGATTCATACTGAATCCTCAAGTGACCTCCACTCTCTGCGAGGCTTTCCTTTGGTTCTGCAGCAACAGGAGAGCAGGGAGCCGGTTCCTCCAGGGACAGCCGGGACCAGTCGGCTCCGTACGCCAGGGAGTTGTGCAGGATGTAGGAGGCTAGGACCGGACATGCTCCTCCACCACCCTCTGGACAAAGACGGGAAAACATTGATGTTTCACACAATAATTCTTACGGGCAGAATCAGAAATTCCTTAATATTGGGCTGGAGTCTTATTTATTAGTTCATAGGATCGAAATGACAAAATATTCAGATTTATAAAACCTTTCATACACTTGAGCCGAATTTGAGTTGATTTAATATTGTTTACAATTGAAAGTTGTTTATGAAATAGTTATGGATTATTAGCACAAATATGACTGCTGGTTTGAATGTTTATGATTAATGATATGTATGATACCTCTTACATTTAATTTCTACGCCCTGGTTTTAATTGAGCACCTCACCATCTGCGTCTCCATAACGTACGTACGCCTGGGTCAAAGCTTCTGTACAGGTGCATCCTGGTCCTTACGGGATACATTTCATTCATGCAACAATAACTCAGGCCGACTAACTGTTCCCTCATGTTTACCAGCTCCTGGATCCCGATGTATTCAGTAATGAAGATGAAGACTGCAATGCTAAACTGCTTTTGGGGTCTGACAAAGCCTGTGTCCAGTTACTCTTTCAAGTTCCAGGGCAATGTGACTCACTCTCATTTTACTAAAGTTAATTTTCTGTCTGATGAGGCGAGCCTGGTGTCATTACATTTTATGAATCAGGAGGCCAAACTAAAACTTGGTGCCTTGGTTAACTAACTGAATGACGAACCAACAATAAAAAGGAAAAACAGAGTTCATGGTGTTCCCTCCTCCATACTCGCCTAGCGCCTGCTGGCAGTGGAGGATGTGGAAGTCATTGTGCATGCAGGCTGCCAGCAGCAGGTGCTGATCGGTCGGATGCCACTTCAGCCTCCACACTCCACCACCCACTGGACTTTCACTGAGAGGATGTCGCATGTTCCTGCCATCCCACAGCAAAACCTGCTCATCATAGCTGCAAACACAAGCCCAGAACACAAGACGGTCACATGACTGAAAGACTGAGCCAGCTGATTGTTCAAGACAAGAAGAACAAAGACAGAGGAAGACGTGGAAGTAAAAGGTCATTCTCACGCAACACCATTTTTCCACAGAGAGGTCACTGGGATATTTACCTGCCTGTAGCCAAGATGTGCTCCCGGTGGGGGTTGCTGTGTATACTGCACACACCCATTGAGTGTCTTCAAGAGAACAGACCAGAACTTGTCAGTGTGCTTCGCCTGAACGGACAGACCAAAAGATTGCTGGTGAAACTACCTTTTACTGGTGAAGGTGGGGCAGGAGGGACCCACCCTGAGATCCCAGCCTTTGAGTTTGCAGTCATCACCACCTGTTGAGGAAAACACACACACACACACACACACACACACACACACACACACACACACA